CATCTTTTTTACATTGTGGCGACCAAAACTGGACGACGTATTTCAAGTGTGGTCTTACCAAGGCATTGTAAAGCATTACTAACACTTCAGGTGAAATAAATGGAGCATCTCAATTGGGAAAGATTGCCAGTTATTTCTGGGATCAGGATTTCGATTGCTATTTACAGATTTTTTTTTTTAAATTAACATGTGCTTAATGTATAACAATGTTTCTCAACCTTAAAGCAGCTTTAAGTTGTCACGGTTGCGAAACCCTGATTTATAAGAACCGGCTATCCTAAATTCAGCAAGTCTCAGTAAGCTTTTTTTCTTGTAAATCTACCTTTGATCAATAAGCTTTATTGGCTTTCAATTCGCTGCCGGTCGGCCCACAAATGACAGCAGAGCCTTGCAAAGCAGAAAGTTTAAGAGAGTACAACATGAGTTTATTATACGAATTAATATTAAACATCTTTTAAGAAAAAAATTATGTATGGAAATAAATTCTAAAAGACCAACATTCACAAACATCACAAACATCTCTCATGTGGTTCCCCCCCCCTTGGGTTGTGTCTTTTTTGCGGGGAGGTGGGAAACGAGAAAGTAATACAAACATTATTGTCATGGATTGTACATTGTTTGATTGGGGAGGGGGGAGAACCCTAAGCTTTTGAAAGCTGATCTTTGTAGTCCTGAAAACACATTGACAGTCTGGGAGGGGGAAAAATATGTGAAACTGAACAAAATTATTCCATGGATATCATTAACGGGAAATTCCAAAAGCTCTGAGCCAAACTGTTCTTTTCCAGACTACCTCCAAAACTGACCAAGAATTCCTGGCATGAAACTTACTGAGGATCTGTTCATGGAGACCATATACATATGCAACGCAACCGCAGTACAAGCAGTTTTGGTAAAGCTTAAAAGAACATCCATGTTGCTAATGCAGGGAAGGCTGGCATAGCAAAAAATATATATACATTTTGGGGAAACTGGAGCGAGAAATGGCAGCGGCCTTCAGTTCCGGAATTTCTGTGAAATGCTTGCATGACAGAATCTAATTCTGGCCATTTGGTTCTTCACAAAAGGCCCAGAAAAAGCCCCAGGGTCACCATAAAAGTGGAAAATTAGCCAGTATTTTCAGTTAAGGAACAACAGAGAGAAGTAGTGTGAACACAAGAGCTTTTGAGTTTTATGGATGTTTTTCTTTCCAGCTCCGGCCAAACAACTAGCTTGCTCTGAGGCAAAGACCTTTGGAACCTGGATTGGCATGGTATTAATTATCAATAATAATTAATAATTAATAATAATCAGGTATGATGCTCAGTTGTCTTTCCAGATCACAATTTATTATGCAAGCAAGGTTGTTTTCTCCAACCTTCACAACAGCCTGGAAGCTAGGATGGGACCCCAGAGTAAAAGATTCCCATTTTTTCCCCAAGATGCACTGATGTTTTTCAATAATAATAATAATAATAATAAAAAAAATCCTGCCTTGGAAAGCATAAAAAGAATCATTCAGGATTTCCCAGCACCGGTCGGGCTTAAGCCTCAGAGAACTCTCCAAGTCTTTTAGAGCAACATGGATATATATAGGCTTGGCCTGATTTTTATAAGCCTCTTAAGGGGGGGGAAAAAATCCCAACAATACGCCAAACAGAGATCCGTACGCATTGTCCGATTCACTCCCAAACTGTTGTGAGGCAAGGATTGGCTTCCAATTAAACCTTGTCATGGACAGATAGCAAAGCTAAACCTTGCATCTTATGAAACTCCAGTGAACCTTACAGACAACCATCCAAACAGACCAAGAAATTTGCCAGCTCGATTTCTTACTCCTCGTTCTCCCCGAGTGAAGAACGATCCCAAAAAGTAGAACTTTACAATGTTTCGCATCTATTGCTGGGTGTTTTGGTTTAGTCAAGTGCATCAGTACCGGAGAAGAGTATACAGGTAACTCTTAGCATGTTCAGGAATCCTTTGCTACAGGTTCACTTACAGCAGAGGCCCCAGCTATACATGATGACAACATACCTATATTTTTAAAGTGCCAGAGGAAATGGGCAGAGAAGTCCTGAAAAGTACAGGTAGGCCTCGACTTAGAACAGTTCATTTAGTGACTATTCAAAGTTACAACGGCAGTGAAAAAAGCAACTTATATCCAGTCCTCCACTTATGACTGCACAGCGTCCCCATGGTCACATGATCAAAATCCAGATACTTGGCAACTGGCATATATTCATGATAGTTGCAGCATCCTGGGGTCATGTGATCACCTTTTGCGATCTTCCCAGCTGGTTTCTGAAAAGCAAAGTCGATGGAGGAAACCAGATTTGCTTAACAACTACAATTAACAACTGTGGCAAAAGAGGCTGTAAAATCAGGCGCAACTCACTTAATAATCACCTTGCTTAGCAACGGAAATTCCGGTCCCAATTGTGTTCGTAAGTCGAGGACTACCTGTAACTGCTTTTGCACACTTTTTTTTCCTTTTATAACAGCAGGATTCTCCTTGTTACTGGATTTTACTTTAAGAGCCAGTGGTGGGATTCAGCCGGTTCGCACCACTTCGGCAGAACCGGTAACTAATTTTTTTGTTGCCCAGGCCCAGAATGGACTTCCGGAAGCGGCATCCACAGAGAACCGGTTGTTCATGTATTTGAATCCCACCACTGTCAAGAGCAGATCTACCCCAAATGGCTGAACGTATACAGTATATCTAAATCCTTTCGCTCATGCTCAAACCTCTGCATTAGACATGATCAAAACAGACTAACATCTGGAAACAGGCAGCTTTGTTACCACTAGGGATGTAAACAGCAAAGCAGCTTTCAATCCCAAGTATTACCAATTCTCTGCTAAAATAGGCTAATGGCATGATTCACCCAGCAGGTGTTTGACTGGTTTTGATTCAGTAGCTTACATGAATCCAATTATACTTCATGGTTTATACTTTATTCAGTACAGCAAGGTTAGGCAAATGAAAGGTGAGCATAATATCTCCGAACCTCAGCAACTTTAAGATATGTGGATTTCAACTCCCAGAATTCTGGGAGTTGAAGTCCACGGATCAAGTTGCTGGATTTGAGAGAGATTGGCTTAGCATAAATGCACAAGCCCGGAAATTGGTGACTGTTTTTTTTCAAGGCTTCAAATATAGGTTCTACCATTAGTATTAACTCCACCCTTCAGCTGCAATCAGTTAAGACGATGCCTGCATTTAACAGGCCACGTGCATCCTTGTGCTTTTATCTATGTAGTTATAAAAAAGTTTCGAGAGCAACTGTCACTTAAAAAAAAAAGTATTCCCTTATTTTAAAAACATAGGTGGGCACCTAGTTGCCAGTTCCAATTATGGTTATTAAATGAGGACTATTGTACGCCTCCTTTCTCCAATGAAGCTTAGCCCCAAATTTCTAAACCATCTCAGCAAGGGTGACAGGAGACTTCAGGGCACATGACATGAGAACTGTAAGAGACACTGCATTCACAGAAATGGAAAAAAAGGACAATATATAGAATGTAAGCTTTCACATCATTCTTATTTTTCAATCTGATTCTGTTTTCCAGTAATGCAAAGAACACAAAGCTAGCAGAGAGGCTGCACAGAAGCAAGATGGGAGGGAGGGCATTTAAGTTGGGCTGAGAGACATTTAAAAACAGGATCAATGACAGCAGAAATGTCCCGGGGGGTGGTCAAAAAAGTCAATATGGCATCCACCAACATGTGATCCGAATCCCACTTCTTTTACATGTAAAAAAGTTGGAGCTTTTCAGCACCAGAAACGTTTTGTAAATGAAAAATGATGAACAAAACATAAAGGTTAACCTTCCAAGGTATACTAGTATTTTCTCATGGGGCTTGTAAAACGAAATCAAGAGATTTAATAAGAGAAGGATACGCTTCTCAATCTTTTCTTATATACAATTAACAGAAAAGTTTAAGTGGATAAAAGATTTTATGATTTTGAACAAAGCAAGACTGAATTTGAATTTTATACCAGTGACAAACATGTTATTGCCAAAATTATAAACTTTTGTTGAAATAGGAAACCGAAGAACAAATGAAAGAATGTATGATAAATTAGGCTAAAAAAATGGCTATAATGTACAAATGGAAAACGTGTGGTTGGAAGGATCCAAATTTACATTATGCTCTCTAATTTTAAGGAGAATTTTTATGAAATGATGTATCACTGGTATTTGTCACCAGAGAAATTGTCTAGGACAGGGGTGTCAAACTGTCGGTCCACGGGCCGGTTTCGTTATACTGAAACCGGGCCCGCCCCATTGGCGGCAATGCAAAAAGAGTCGCAATACGTCCCGACACGTCACGTGAAGTGGCGAGTTTGACACCCGTGGTCTAGGAAGTATAAAGGTATTTTGAATCTTTGCTGGAAACATGAATAACATAAAGGGACATTTTATCATGTTTGATGGACCTGTAAAAAAACCCAAAACATTTGGATACAAATACATGCATTAATTCAGAAGATCTTAAAAGTATAACAGAAACCAGATGCTTTTCTTTTGGGCTAATGGACAAACAACTAGAAAAAAGTCACAGAACTTTGTTTCTATTTATGACAACTGCAGCAAGATTATTATATGCTCAAAAATGGAAAGACTACCTACAACAGAGGAGTGATTAGTAAAGATGATAGAACTTGCGGAGATGGTGAAATTAACCTCTCTCATTAGAAAAAAAAACAATATCAACATTTATGATCAACTGGAAACCCTTATAGACTTTTTGCATGAAACAGAAAAAAAAATGCACTTATGATTTGTGGTAATGATGATTAGAAAAAAAAACACCTGATAATAAAAAAGGGTCTTTTTTTAATCATGGAGTAAGATATTGTATTTATATTTGCTGCAAAGGAATGCAAATAAATCAGAAGCTTTCTTTCTCTTCCTTCCTTCCTTCCTTCCTTCTTTCTTTCTTTCTTTCTTTCTTTCTTTCTTTCTTTTTCTTTCTTTCTTTCTTTCTTTCCTTCTTTCTTTCTTTCTTTCTTTCTTTCTTTCTTTCTCTTTCTTCTGCTCTTCATTCATTTGTGTTAGATTGAATGTGTTATGTAAACCTTGATTAAAGAAAACATTTTGAAAAAGTTGGAGCTTTTATCTTGTTTGAAGATGCTGCCCTGACTTTTTTGACCACCTCTCCCACAGACACCCTTGAATAAGGGGAAATATCTATCATGAATGGCTTCTGATTGTGGAAAAGATCTGCAGGAACACTTTTTCGTGGAGGGGAAAAAAATTAAATTATTCTGACTATCGCACTCAAATAGCATGATTCAGGCTTCTTTTCTATTAGCAGCAATAATTATATAATTATAGTAAAAATCCACAATTCAGCAAAATGTATAGGGCCACTGCTCTATCTGGATGAAAGACACAAATATCCATTCGTTCAAAAGTCATGGTTCAAAAACACCAGCCAGAAACCACTTTGAAAAAATGGTGTGGCGTTTGTTTCCTATATCTGAACCACATTTGATAATAGATCATCATTATCCAGCTTCAGAGATTGGTGTACAAAAGATTAGGTCAGTTGTCAGTTTTCTCCCCCTATTTTTTGGTGGTGGATTCTTCAGAGTTGAAAAAGACCCAAATTCTTAGGCGCCGGATTAAAAAAAATCAAAATGTGCCTTCCTGTTCCTGTGTGGTTGAACTCAGATCATTCCAGAGTAGAGTCACCAGCATAAAAACTATTCTTCCCTTTTAACCATCTTGGTTGGTTTCTCAACTTATTTGGCTTTTTCTCCCCTAATTGCCAATTCTGGATCTAGAAAGGAAAAAGAGAGAAATATGGGAATGCTAACAAAAGCACGAGTACTTTATAATACAGATAGTCCTTGACTTACGGTGACAATTGAGCCCAAAATTTCCGTTGCTAAGCGAGACAGTTGATTTTGCCCCATTTTACGATCTTTCTCGCCACAATTGTGAAGTGAATCACTGCAGTTGTTAAGTTAGAAACCTGGTTGTCAGGTGAATCTGGCTTCCCCATTGACTTTGCTTGTCAGAAGATCACAAAAGGGAAATCACATGATCCCGAAACACTGCAATCGTCACAAATATGAGTCAGTTGCCAAGTGTCTGAATTTTGATCACGTGACCACAGGGATGCTGCAACTATTGTAATTGTGAAAAACAGTCAGAAGTCACTTTTTTTAGTAGCTTCAAACAGTCACTAAACAAACCGTTGTAAGACGGGGACTACCAGAATTTTAGAAAATCTTAGCTCTGAGCAAAGAGGAACTGGAGGAAGATAAAATCTCCTTCAAGTACCTCCAAGTTGTTTTCTTGGCAACAATACAAAATGGTTTGACACTGATTCCTATTTAGTTTTTTGCCTCCCCAAAAAAACCTTCCGTTCTTGTATTTCCTTGTGGTCTCCTGTTTACAGATTAGCCAGTTCCACCTCTGCATATCTTTTTAAGATCAGGCCAGATCAGGGAATTGCTACCAACTGAGCCAAGGTATGTTTTAAAAAGTTCCTTGGGCCAGAGTTTAGAGGTTCTACTTCCTTTTGTTGTTATCATCACTGCTTTTTTATCTTGCCTCTTCCAATATGGGCATAACAATATATATATTTATATATAAAAGCAGCACAATTCCACATATCTTCACAGTTGGCATCAACATGGACTGGATCTAGACAGGCAGAGTAAGATCAGAAAAACCAGAGGCCAATTAATCAGAACAGAGCCGGAAGGGACTTTGGAGGTCTTCTAGTCCAACCCCTGCTCAAGCAGGAGACCCTATACCATTTCAGATAGGTGGCTTTCCAGTCTCTTCTTAAAAACCTCCAGTGATGAAGAACCCACAACGTCTCAAGGCAAGCTGTTCCACTGGTTAATTGACCTCACTATTAGGAAGTTTCTCCTTAATTTCAGGTTGCTTCTCTCCTTCATTACTTTCCATCCATTGTTTCTTGTCTTGCCTTCTGGTGCTTTGGAAAATAAGTTGATCCCCTCTTCTTTGTAGCAGCCCCTCAAATACTAGAATATTGTAATCATGTCCCCCCTAGTCCTTCTTTAGACTGGTCAAACCCAAATCCTGCAACCGTTCTTCATGTGTTTTAGTCTCCAGGCCTTTAATCATCTTAGTTGCTCGTCTTTGCACTTTTTCCAAAGTCTCAACATCTTTTTTGTAATATGGTGACCAAAACTGAATGCAGTATTCCAGGTGTGGCCTTACTAAGGCTTTAAAATAAAGCAGTCCTAATACTTCACGTGATTTTGATTCTGTGCCTCTATTTATACAGCCAAGGATTGTATAAATATAAATTCAGGGCAAAAGGTTGCTTAAGATCATCATTTTCAAAGTCTTCTCCATTCCCATTAACTAGCTAGCAACTCCACCTATTTCCATTTATTATAGCTGTCTGTTTTAATTTTTTAATATATAATATTTTATTAATTTTCTCACTTTACAGTTGAGTATTTAAAAAGCAACGTGATGACTGGGTTAATCAATTGTAGTTCAATAGCATAGATAAGTCTTTAGCACAGTGTTTCTCAACCTTGACAATTTTAAGGCATGTGGACTTCAACTCCCAGAATTCCACAGCCAGCATTGCTGGCTGTGGAATTCTGGGAGTTGAAGTCCACATGCCTTAAAATTGTCAAGGTTGAGAAACACTGCTTTAGCATAAATCTCATGTTACAACACCAGATATTTCCTCTCTTTCCCCCTTAATATCTACTATCTCATATTGGGCTAATACAGTTCTTATTATTATCAACTAAATAAAAAGATCTTTGTTACTATTATTAATAATTTTTAGCTTATACATATCTTAATTGCGTTTGTTTTGGTCCTTATATATACAATCAATGTCCTGTTATTGCTTTTTCCCCCCCAAGCTTTAATTTCTCATCAATATTCAAATTAACATTTGTTGTTTATGATTTCCAAGTATTTTATATTTAGGTGACCAAAGTTTCCCTTGTCTCAACTTCTTCCTTTTTCCCTTTTCATAACAAAATCTAATATTCTAAATGGACATCTTATCTATTTGATTATAATCTTGTTCTGTTTTCTAAAAGTTATCTATTTTCCACCATGTTAAACCATCTAATTAATAATACTGTATCCCCTCTAATAAGTCAAAACCATTATATGTGTAGTCTGGGTTAACCAATTATTCAGTAATATACATAATTTCTTTTAGTTTAGGTCTAATATTGGAAACTCAAATACCCTCTCTTTTTCTAGTAATATCTGTTATCTCATATTGGGCAAACAGAATTATTATTTTCAACTAAGTAAAAACATTCTTGTTACATTTATCAATATCAATCAGAAGAAATTTGAGGAAAAGGAAGAAGAACAGACTGAATGGAAGATAAACCTATCAGAACAATTGTGGGAAATTGGACTAATAAGGAGGCGATCTAATGAATACAAATGGGCTCGTTCTTCCAAAAAACTTCAACCAAATGGTCTTTCTTATTCCAAATAATATATATAATAATAGAGGGAGAACTATTTGATGATTCAAAGGCACTGACATGGAAGGTTAGCTGGCAAAGGAAGAAAGCCAGAGTAAGGCTGAAGAAAATAATGGCTTTGGTTTATTAGAGGGGATATTATATTACTAATTAGAGGGCTGAATATGGTAGAAAATAGATAACTTTTAGAAAATAAAGTAACATTATAATTGAATAGCTAAGATGTGTAACAAGACTATTAGACTTTGGTATGAAAAGGGAAAAAAGGGAGAAGTTGAGATAAGGGAAACTTTGGTCACCTAACATAAAATATTTGGAAATCATAAATAACAGTGGGTTTTTTTTCCTTTTTTTTTTTAATATTGATGGGAAATTAAAGTTTATGTATAGGCTGTCTGTTTTAATTTTAAATTACAAGAATATATTGTTAAAAGATAAGGACATTTTTGAATGCTGTTTGGTCTTTGTAAACAGCAATAACCTTGAATATTCCTGTTCAGAGTTCCTGCCATATGAATTGATAATTGTTGGAACAAAAAAGAGCATACCTTATTGTACTTCTTTTGATGGTTCTTCTGCTGCAGGTAATTTTTTTCTTATTTGGCAGTCCTCATCTGAAACACAGAGGCAGGAGATGGTTGAAGCCTGCAGATCTGCAGTGGCCCAACTTTACAACTAGACTAGAGTTGGTGTCAATTCAGAGGTCGGAAAAAGCAGTGTCAGAGACAGGCTGTTCTTGTGGCCAACTATAAAGATGATTGAAGAACCATGGTGGTGCAGTGGTTAGAATGCAGTATTGCAGGCTAACTCTGCCCACAGCCAGGAGTTCGATCTTAACAAGCTCAAGATTGATTCAGCCTTCCATCCTTCCGAGGTTGATAAAATAAGGATCCAGATTGTTGGGGGCAAGATGCTGACTCTGTAGACCATTTAGAGCAAGGGTGTCAAACTCGCAACGTCACTTGACGTGTCGCGACGTATCGCGACTGTTTTGCCATTGCCGGCAATGGGGTGGGTGCAGTTTGGCTATGATGCATCTGGTCTGCTGGCTGGCAATTTGACACCCGGGCTTAGAGAGTGCTATAAAACACTGTGAAGTGGTATAACCCTAACCTAACCAGTTTCCACATCAAGGCTTCTAATCCTCCTCCAATAAAATCATCAGCTCTCAACACTATCACTACCAATGTCCTTGATTACAGCTGGCAGCCTTACATCATCCTGGATGCATCCATTTCTACAATACAGGTAGTCCTTGACTTACAGCCACTTGTTTAGTGACCGTTCGAAGTTACAACAGCACTGAATAAAGTGACATGACCATTTTTTCACACTTAAGACTGTTGCTGCATCCCAATGTTCACATGATCAAAATTCGGGCCTTTAGCAACTGGCTCACATTTATAATGGTTGCAGTGTCCCGGGATCATGTGATCCCTTTTTGCGACCTTCTGACAAGCAAAGTCAAGGGGGAAGCCAGATTCACTTTACAACTGTGTTACTACCTTAACAACAGCTGGGATTCAACTGTGTTACTACCTTAACAACAGCTGAGATCATTCGTGGCTTTGGGGTGGATTTCCATCAGTACGCTGATGATACTCAGCTGTACATATCCACCCCGGGCCACCCCAACAATGCCCTTGACGTGATGACCCGGTGTCTGGAGGCCGTGAGGGTCTGGATGGGGAGGAACAGACTCAGGCTCAACCCTTCCAAGACCGAGTGGCTGTGGCTACCGGCGCCTCGGC